ATAACTGTTCATTCTGGAGTCTAAAAAAACTTCTACATTGACTTTTTTAGGTCCCCCCCCTCCCAAGTGCTTTTATTATGTGGTGTTTGAGTTTGCAGACCATCATTCAAAGACTAATTTGGACTCTGTAAGATATAGTTAAAAACAAATTCTCCTGATAATGTTTGAATTCTACTTCCAGGTGGATTTTATATACTACCTCCACACAGGAAGTGAGAAAAGTAGTTTTAACTGTACGTTAATGTCTTGCATATGCTGCAAGATTTCTTGAGCTTTTCCTGTAAATGGCAGCAACTTGGCAAGTCCTATGTGTAGTTTAATGTTTAAACTAACTCTGCTTTTATTTTGCTGGTATTGCTGGTGCTCTTACGTATACAGATTGAGTTGCAATATAACTGAAGATTGGGAGGTGGAACTTGCTTCTCTTCTTGTTAGAGCTATGCATCCCAAAAGCTTGGTATAGGCATAATTTTAGTATGGTTCAGTTTATTACAACAAAAATACTCTGGTGAAACTTCTAGACCAGATTAGATGAAGTCAGCTTTCAACGGAATTTCGTACACTTCTTGTAACACCTGGTTTTTTGTGTTGTGTGTTGTTTTTGTTTTTCTTCTTTGTTCCTTGTTTCTCCCACCTTCATTAACTGTGCTTACAATGAGTTTTCAGTGAATTAGTTTCAATGTTCCAGCTAAATCCTTGGCTGTAGTGATGGTGTAAGTGGTGGAGATCTTATTCTGGTATTCTTTCTACCATGTTTCCTTGTGTCTGTTAGACCTATTTAGATGAAAATGCTGTAAGCTGATGACGACGTCTGTGTGCTTGTTCCCTGTTATACTATTAATGTTTATGTCTTAGAAATTAGGAGAGGCAGTCTAGCACAGAAAAGCTTCCTGTAGACTACTTGAAATAGTGGTGAATTCTAACAGCGTTCCCATGGTAGTGAATGTGTTTTCTTTAATACACATTAGTCAGATCTTGCTGTTGTCTTCTTTATAATACAGCATGTTGGCTGTATTGTAGTCATTACACAAGTTGCCTTAGCAAAACTTTCTAAAACACTATAAAAAAAATACATAAAACCATGTTTGGCAAAAAATGCTAAAGGGTTCTAATGGTTCCTGAGTATGTAGGGAATCGTCTTTTTCTCTTTTTGGCATTCACATGAGCTTTTTAATCCAAGTCTTAGTCTCTTTCTCCTCTGCTGTATCCCATACTAAATTAAATTATTTAACTTTTATTTTAGCAATAGGAGACAATTTGAGCATAATTAAAGTAATGTGTCTGTCTAAATGAGTGATACCTAACTGGATTATGATTGTTTAAAGAACATGTCTGCAATCATTCATTGCGAAACTGTACACTTCTGTTTGAGAGTTACAATAAATATTGAAGTCTCACTGTTCAATCTAATGAATGTAGCTCTAGATCCGCACTTTCATTGCCACTCCTAGTTTCCAGAATGCACCAAGGGGTTGAGATGCTGTACTGAAATTCCAGGACTTTGGTGAAGGGAACTCTGGCTGTAGTTTAGTGGCAAAGAAAGGCACACACTGTTTGCCCACCCAACCTAGTCAAGCACATGGCCAGCCCTTCTCTCCTGCTTTGTCTGCTGTGCCTGTTAGAAGAGGTTTCAGCCCTCTTACTGCCCAGGGTTCATACTCTGCCCATGGGAAGATGCATTGGATCTAGAGATGCTCAGGGTCATTTGGATAATGAGGGAAGATAACGTCCATATTGTTTTCATAATTTTTCTTGAAAAAAGGTGTTTCTGGGTTAAAGTGCTGTACTGCTAGTCTCAGGCAATTAATGTAAGAAATATTCTAAAACCAGAACATTCTTCTCCCAGACCTTAGATCTGTGCATCCGATAGGTCTGTGCAGTATGCTTAGACATGTTACAAGCTTATAGGCCTTGCCTGTATTTCCTATATAGCAACTTCCTTGGCTTATCTTAATGCTCACATTTGAAAGACTTCCCGAGGTACCATACTAAACAACATATGATGGGAAAAATATTACTAATTAGATCTGTCTTCCAGATTAGAGACCAAATTCAGGACAATAGTCTTTTAGTCTGTTCAGCTAGAATTCCTCAGATCCCCTCTTAGATCAAAGATAAAGCTATATTGTGATAGACGTGTGTAGATAGATGTATGCAGGCTATCTTTAAACTAGTTTAATGTAGCTGTGTAAGTCAGTGGCATGTTAGATACCCACACAGAGAAAGCTTTTTTTTTATCCCTACCACTTGAAAATCCATGGTGTCACAAAACGTTCTTTAATTGGCGTACCTAATGAGGCAAACCTGTTTCTTAATGGAGAACATGTCTTAAGAGTCATATTTGTCATCTATTAAGTCTTTGAGAAACTGAGTTAATATGTTCAGTTATGACTTTGCTAGCAAGATGTGGATGGCAATGCACCTGCATTTTGAGGTGGGTATGTCTCTTATCACATGGTCTCGTGTGGTTTGTAGCTGTGAATTCCTGTTTCAGCTTTTCTTCATATCTTTAGCAGAAGAGTACTGAAACTATTTGATATGTTCCAGTAAAACAAATTACAGTCAGCACCCACCAATTTTTATTCTTTTTCCACTTGTTTCTTTATTAAATGTGGTTTGGTAATTTTTTATGTATTTATTAAGATGCTCTGATTTAGCAAGCCTTGCTGCATGAAATGCCTTCAGAAGTAGACTTGAAATTCTTCGTAATTGTGTGACAAATTTAAATCAGTCATCCTTAAAAAAAAAAAATCTCATTTTTGTTTATGTATTTCATTTAGATGATTAGACTACAATGAAGCTTGTGTCTTTCAGTAAAACTTGTAGTTCCAAAATTTGTCTGTGGTCTAGATTGATGCCTCTGTTCTAAGAAGAAAGTTTTGGCTCAGATGGCCTTTAACAAATCAGGAAAACTAGGGAGGTAAAAAATTTTGTTTCATTTTGATCTGTATGTATGACAGAGGCTTCTGAACTGTCCAGCGTATAGATCTTGTGGTGTTGATAATAGTTGGATGATGATGGTGGTAGTTTCTACTCTGTTGTAATTTGACCTCACCAAATGGATGCCTGACTCTGAGAAGCCTCAGCTTTAATTAAGGACTTCATTCTGCCTAATATAACTTCCATCAGCTCTGACTATTTACAGACATAGAAGATAAAAAATTAGAAATAATTTTCTAGTGAGAGTGCTGCATTTTTGTATTTGTTTTCAGTTCTCCAGTTGATACCTGTAGGTTAAATTAAAAGTTTAAATTGTGATCTTGAGGACTTCTGTGCCTCAAAGCTTGTCTGCTAACCCGTTGCTTTAGCTGCAAATGTTACCTTTATTGGCAAACCTTGCCTTGTTTTGAGTGTTTTGCCATTGAGGAAATTTAAGATTGGTGCAGTGCCTTACCTTTGAAGTTTGTTGATTGCTTTCTGACCCTGGTGCAAATGCCTTAATCCTCATCTCCCTGCCTAGGTGCAATTTAACAATCTCTTGTCCTGTTCTTTGTCACTGTGACAGGACAGAACAGTATTTTGAAGAGGAGGTATGGCATGCCATGTGACTTGGCTGAAATGAAGTGATGTAAATAATTGAAGCTATGTTGCATATGACTTTTAGTGTGAGGATCTGGAAGAGTCAATATGTCACACTGCAGCTGTTTGTTCTTTGTAATGGTGGGTTGTTTTTCTTTTTTTTTTTTTTTGAGAGGTAGCTGCAAGTAAACCAGAAGTATTTCTGCCACCCCCTTCCCCCTTCTGTCTTTCTCTGTTTGGTTTTTTTTTTTGAGCTTTCATTCATTTCACTTCCCAGTGGGTAGATGATGAGTTTTCTGTCATAGTTATCTATTAAAGTGCTAGTGTTTTTCTCCTGAGGAAGAAAGAAAAGTCTTGTGAATTCTACTCTCACTAAGTATCTCGTTTTTACTTATTTTAATGTCTTCCCTTCCATTTTTGGTTTGTCTTCTGATGCTCTCATGAATAAAGTTCCAGATCAGTCAGCTGGGTATGTCACATGAACAGATTTTTGTTCCTTTTTTTCCACCTGGAGTCTTGAAAAGTAGATGCTCCAAAACCGACGAATTATGTACCAACGCTTTTGGAGAAATAAAACAATTACTTACTATCTCATCTTAAAAACAGAGCATCTGCATAGTTTTACATTATGCAAGCTATGCTTTTATTGATAATCATGTTAGGTAGGTTTTGATTTCTGTTGTTGTTGGGTTTTTGTTTGCTTCTGAAATAAGAGTAACCTGTAATGCATCAAACAGTTGAAGATAATTTAATTCCAAGTCCTGCACCAAGGTCAGAATTTTTTACATGCTTTTTATATAATTGAGCATTTATTGTTCTTAGTCAAAACACGTTTCATATGATCTGTAAGACACTAACTTTTCTCTGTGGGACCCTAATGTTGTTTGCTTGCAGTAGAAATACTGTTTTTTTTTTTAGTTTTTACTATATTGGTGAAATTTGGAAGCTACATTTTTAATGGTACAGTCAGAAACATGTTAATTAGAAGGATAAAAATTTGGTTTTTGTAGACAAACTGTATTTGTTGATCCTATTTCCTAGTTTTGTCTTCATATTGAAGTTTACTGGTTCAGTTATTTCATTACTTCTCTAAATGTGTTAACTGTTGTATACTTTTTTTGCGGTGTTCTTCAGTGCTGTGACTTCGCTAATAGCAGGTCAGAATGGTATGTAAGTCTTAAGTCATCAAGATGGAAAAAAATTAAAATAAGATGTAATGAAAAAATGGGTTCAAGTCTGATGCAGATAAAGAAGTGACAGCTTAAATATTTGAGCAGTAACAAGTCAAATGCAAAGTTTAGCAGAAGTAAACAATTGGAACATTAATTCAGCTAGGCTCACATTTTTGACAGTTATGCAGAGGTGAAGTATGGTTCTTGAGGAGTGTTTTTTTTTTTTTCTTTGCAGCAACAGCTTCTGTGCTCCCATGGGTTGAAGGGTGGGTAATTCTTACCAGCAGCTGCACAGAAACCTGTAAGTGCAAAGATGGCCCAGATTTGATGTTAAAGCTATCAGGCAGAGTACTGCTGTGTATTAGCACTTAGTCAATATGATGCTATTTGACCAGGTAAAGTATCTCAATCATGTGCTTATGTGTGACATTATATGAATACATATTCTGCGTGTAGCTAATATAAGTGTTTCTCCTGGTTCACCAAAAAAATCTTTCCTAGATTAGATATGATTTGGTGCCTCCAACACGGTCCCTTAGTGCAGAAGTTCTAATGTCAAAATGAAGCCTGGTCAATGTATCAGGACCATACTGTAGACTTCAGATAATTTGGTGCTTAATCTTTGACTGACTAAAATTGCAAGTGTTATAATACTTTTCTTCTGTAAAAATGTGGTATTCTGTATCTTTCTGTCGTGGTTTACCCCCAGCCGGCAACTAAGCACCACACAGCCACTCGCTCACTCCCCCCTTGGTGGGATGGGGGAGAGAATCGGAAGAGTAAAAGTGAGAAAACTCGTGGGTTGAGATAAAGACAGTTTAACAGGTAAAGCAAAAGCCGCACACGCAAGCAAAGCAAAGCAAGGAATTCATTCACTCCTTCCCATTGGCAGGTGGGTGTCCAGCTATCTCCAGGAAAGCAGGGCTCCATCACGCATATCGGTGACTTGGGAAGACAAAACACCATCACTCCAAACATCCCCCCTTCCTTCTTCTTCCCCCAGCTTTATATACTGAGCATGACGTCACATGGT